ATTAATACGAAATCCAACAGCTTGAGTTGTTCATACGAATTGGGTTTTATCAGAATTTTTGCCATTTTTGTTTGTTTTTAGGACACTTTAAAGCATTTTAAGACCATTTTATTGATCAATTTTGGCGATTTTAGGTCATCAAAATCTTTTCCTACTAATAAATATAGATCGCTGATCTGTATGTGAACAATCATAGAAAAATATTTCCCTGCTTTGATATCGGTATTGATTTTTTCTCAACTGCCTACCTAACTGGATCAACTGGATACCTAAGACACGTTTCCCCTTACACATTCACCATAGCTATGCAACAAGTTTTGAAAAACTCATAGAATTCAGCAATTGTTTTGAGTAACATTATATAATTCCCGTTGTGAGGATTTCAATTTTTTCACGTGTCTACGTAGCGGTTATCCTCTTGATATACGCGTTTTCATAGCTTTGGTGACACGTTCGAGAACTTTTCGCTAAAACCTATTTCTCGTTCTAACTGATCTATCAACTCTATTTATGTGAGCTGCAATACGAGCTCCTTTTGAAATTATCACACAATTTCTATGCAAAAACGAATTTTGATGTTCCTCTAGTGCCAAAGAAGCATTTCCCTGTCATTGAAACCAACTGAACTTTACATGTTTCTCAGAATCGTTTGCATACAGGAGACAAATGCAAGAAAACAATTCCTTTGTTTTCAGAACACACTAACTAGGACTTCTTATTTTCTTAAACATGGAAAAGTTCTTATTCTCGTTTTGTCCAAAAATTAATGTATTGCAATATTATCTCCGGTAATTTCATTGAGCAACCTCATAGCCGAATCATCAACTATATGCAAATCATTTCCCGGTGCGTCGAAAATATTATGTTCCAGTTCACATTGTGTTAAAATTTCTTCATAGTTTTCAACATGAACATTGTTATTTTTAAGTATACTGCTGGCTTTAAGTGTCAGTTTACATTGAGCTAGAGTTTCTGGCTTTTTCGACGACTCGTTTGACTCCCTGAACAGAAAATAAAATACATTATATCCGAATGAACCCTTTTATACTTCATCAATTTTTTATTATTTGTAGGATTTAATTGAAATAATTTAAAAAATCTTTCTTAGAAAGTAGTTTGAATACCAAAATGCTGAGTATAATTTTGATTTATCATTGTAAAACATTTGATTTTAACAAAATATACATTTTTGTTCGCTTATTAACTGAATATAATAAGCTTAGATTGGAACTGAAACATTTGTAGTAAACAAATGTTTTTCTTCGTGTTAAGTCAGTTTTTTATGTTTATTGAGAGGTCTAAATATCACAACAATTTTTGTTGTTTCAATATATTTCTTTTTAATATATTTCTTATTAATATTTTCAATATATTTCTTTTTTTATTATTTCTTTTGTCTAAATTTTGTGTAGTGGCAATCACTCAAACGCTTCCTTCCATCAATTATGTTAATGAAACTCAAACAGCAAAAAAGTTTTTCGAAGCTAAACAACATGATATGTTTATTCCAAGAGCGATTCAACAACACAATAAAAATTTTATCTTCTTTATTTATAATTTTAGAAATACTCATAATCCTACAAGCGTAGAGGTGCATGTAATGTCCCTAATATTTAATGTCTTCGCACATAGTAAGTCTCTACTACCGAAATGTCTCGTCTCTGGCAATATCCCTAATAAGCAAAGTTACTATGAAGCAATGGCCACATGTCGTAGTGCCTCTACACTCGTAACGTCCATAATCAATAATATTCGTATGTAACGTTCATTTCCCCTAAGAAAACATTATTTCTTAAACAAATCTAAATGTCCATTTTATATATTTACTATGATGACGTATGAGGTCGATTAAACCGGTCACGGTCTTGATATTGAATGATTTGATGTTTTAGAATATGTTTTTTGTTGAGCTATTTAATAGTACGGACATTTCCAGTTAGGAACTTAACGTGATACGTGATTGCGAGGTATGGACATTGCGTAATGGCAATATTGATTATTAGAGACATTACGTGTGTCAGGACATTATAGATTTGGGTTTTTACATACGTGCCGCCAGATAAACTCCAATGTTCTTGAAATATATAATAAACAATCCTATATTTATTCTCCGAATTTTTCCAATAAAATATATAGACATCATATTTTAGAACGTCTGAACTCTTGTATCATGTCTGACGGTGATTTCCCCTCGTCCTACTCATCTATTACACTGCCATAAATACATAGATTCTTATTTGATATTTATTTATATATTTAACCCGGCAATAGCCTATTTAGGTACCGAGGTCCGTCATGACAAATTTATTTATGGGTTAGACAGACCGTCTGTACAGTTTTTCAATTATGAAAACTTACATAAGAGATGTTTACTAGCTTTTATTTGGGATTCGGGATTTTTCCATACCGTTACTAGATAAATAACAATATCTACTTCAAAGTCAAATAAACGTAATTTCGGTTCTGCTCTAAACATAAATATGAAAAAACGTACATGACATTTACGGATATGTACAACAACCGAATTAACGATCACGATAGAAACTCTGTTGTTATCTAACATTTTCCCGTATTCCTTCCCTTGCATGCATGGTCAGTACCCTTTTTAATCTTAATTTAGAATTCAATAATCTAACTTCAAAACTTTGTCTTTATACATTTACGAAATTTAATATATCTCCTTTTGTAACTTTTCTGTTGCGGTCATCTTGCCTTCTTGGCCGTCGTTCCCGCGTTCACTCAAAGTTCTATTTCTCCGGTCCGATCGCAATTGCGACATCATCTTCCTGTCCACACACATTTTATATTTTGACGTACTTATAACATTTTCTACGTAATTAATAATTTACATCACACTCATCCAATCGTCAGAGGATCTGGATCCGTTCTGCGATTCGATCACCATCGAATCTTGATGTCTTTTGCCCCGTTCATGTTACGTTCTCTTCGTTTGTGTTCCCCGATTGCCAGGATAGTTCCTAAATCTGTTTCTCTTTCGCTCCACCACGCAGGATCTTCTACTCCTCCTGCACATTCTCATTTCTTATTGGTTGATCTCATATAAGCATTTTATACGTTTATTCCGTGCATATTTATTCCTGGATTACTTTCGTAAATAATTCGCTAATCACGGAAATCACTCACGTGTCCATTCATTATTTTATTTACAACTAATTTTTCTCTATATTAATTACTATGACCTTCGCTTACATTTTCATTATCACTTTATCAAATGCTTCTCTTATGTACCCCATCGTTGATGTTATGTTTATGTTCTATACGAACTTGTTTACTTTCGTATTCACCTTGTGATAAATCATCACAAAATAAATTATTCACCTTGCACAACCATAGACAACTTACCACAAAACGGTGTAATGTTTAGAGACTGGTTCCTGTGCACATGGGACTGAGATAGAATCGTAATTCTTGTATCACTCGCTTGATGCGCAACTATCTGTGGCAAATGTAGCGCGTCAAATATAAATCTATGTTTAATCAGGGAAAATAACAATGTTGGAGACTTCTTAACTTGAATTATTCATTGTAAATCAACATTACAATATTTAAAAAAATAAATTACCTATAATAATTAAATACGAAATAATTACCAATAAATTCGCTTGTTGTAAAAGAAATGTTTGTTAAATTATTATTCAGTTAAAGAATCTGTGTGTTTAGAAACATATAATGTATACAATTTTTAATTTTTCAACTCCTGAAAATTTACGCCCAAGGCCAGTGCCTATCAGGGCTGGGCGAAAATACTCTACTGAGTATGGTCTAGAATATTTTTTGAAGAGTTAGTTTATTTTGAGAAAGAGTTTATTATTGAATGCGATGATGAATGAGTAAAGAAACAATTGGTGTCGAAGTCGTGAAGGTACATTGATTCACAGCTATAAAGTAATAAATCTTATGCGTAAAAAGAAATAGTCCTGTCGAGTGATTCACCGGCGCGAGAGAGGGGCTGGAGGCAGGTGAGATAAAGAGGCCTCTGAGCTTCGAAGAGGGCGGTATTCCCAGTCCTTCGTTTATTGCATCGATGCACCGAAGTCCTGCCTTTATCTCGACCTAACAGACAACAGTGTATACGATCAGTGCGTAATTGAGGATCTAGATGCCTACACCCTCAACAGTTTCAATCTTGTAATGTAATGTTTGGTGCCAAGGGAGAAATAGGTAAAGGTACAAACACGAGATGTTCGAAGAGTGCCAAGTTGCTCTTCACTGCTGTGAAACGAGATTAGCTAGTAGTTATCGAGAGGGATTAGTAGTGTGTTAGATATTATATTTACGTTGCTTAACATTATTAGGTGTACGTTTTCATAACACCATTATT